AGGAGAAGGGATTGTGGGGGGTGATTTCTCGCTTTCTGTCTCTCTGTCTTTCCCTTTCGGGCGAGCGCAAAGACCTCTAAAAATAAAATAAAATAAAAGGACCTTGGCCACTTCCAGTGTCTGAAGTTCCAAATATAGAAATGCATGTCAGCACAGAAACACTAAGGTGTGTGTTTTAAGTGTTTGCATTCATATATTAAAACATGCACTAAGAAGTTTATGGGGAAGTAGGTCGAAGGTCGAAAATTAAGGCCTTTTATGGATGTGACAATGATGCCCATGGGATCCCCTTACCATGGTGGGCCCTGGATAGCCCTGGGGTGGGAGGCCAGGACAGGGCAGTCCATCCCCGTATTGGGGTAACCTGACCTACCCACCCCAGCTCAGGGCCGTTGCTGGTGGGAAGCCGATGGAGCCTTGAATGTGGGGGCAAGGGGAGGAATAGGAAGGGAAGCTGATCACCCGCCTGGAAAGACCAGAGGAGTGAGCCCACCTCGAGGTTTCTTACAAAGGCAGGACGGGTTGAAAGGGATGCTGGTTGCCTGCCGTTCATGATTGGAGAGCAGTCTGGGGCTCCACGCCGGGGACCAGCTGCCCCGGGGTACACCTACCCTGGCATGAAGCTCTTCCCGGTGCCTGGCACTGAGCGAGGGCCAACCAATGGCAGGATGCCCTGGAGAAGTCCCACTGCTGCTGCCACCACCAAGGTGCTTCGGCCACCTCAGTGTTGTATTAGCAAAGCAGCAGTGGGAAGCCATTGCCGTGTGACTTTAGGGGAGTGTGGCCCTTCACTTCTACCCAAAATAGTTCCCCATACACATTCATAGGGTGCAAAATCCCTTGGAATTTGAAGCTTTCCAGTCCCCAGAAGGACCAACGACTGCACCGTCTCCAGGGAGGCCCTGAGGTGATAGGGCTACAGGAATCTTACCCTGCAGTGCTCTTACAAACTGTGCTTTATGAGCCACTGGTAGATGCTGATGATCTAAGTGTAAGTTTTAGAGAGAAAAACAAACTAACAAACAAACAAACAAAACAAGGAACAGTCCCACCCCCCCCAATATCTCAACCATCTGAAATGGGTGATTCACCATCTGAAAGATGACACCATCCGAAAATGCGATTTTATAGGTTCTACCATGTACTTGTTCCCAGGCTGTTCGCCATTATGAAACTTCGCTAAGTAGTGGTAAGAAGCTGGTAAAGCTTTGGCGTCATTTTTAAACAAAGCGTGATGACAAGCGAAGCAACAGAATTTCTTAGAAGAGACGCGCCATCTTGTTTTCCCACCCAAAGTTGATCGATATTATTGTTAAGAAGATCTCAACACTCCAGTAGCATAACTCAACGTTGTTGTTCTTAGAGCACAAACAGGTACAAATCACATCACTTCTTTTTTGTTTGTTTTAGATGTATTCATTTTGAATTGCTTTCATTTATTTATTTATATTATTATTTATACATTTAATCATTATACATCATTTAGACTGTAAAGAGAATTTGCCCAGCATGACAAATCACATCATCTCTAGGAAGCACCTAAAAGCAGCAGTGAACCGAATGCCTAATGCCTGTATTGGGAGGTTGCTTTTGGCACCAAGTCACAGAGAAAACACAAGCGTGTAAGAGCAGAGGAGAGGAGCTCTTCTACAACTGATCAGGCGTGCGACGTGTAAGCCAGTGCCTCCACGACGGCATTAAGATAAAGATTCTTGGGACCAGCGGGTGGCATAGTGGTTAAGGTACTGGATTCCCATTTGGTTGGCCGCAGCTCAAGTCCGGGACCCAGTGGCTTGAAACACATTGGGCGCATGTATGGCTATGTCCAAAAATCCTAAGGAGGATGGAGGAGGAAGGATGGCGGTGTGAACATCCCCCCAAGGGGTGATTGTTTTGCTTTCTGTCTCTCTCCCTCTCTCTGTCTCTCCAGTGAATGCATGTGCCCTATAGCAGAAACTTCTCAAAGAAGATGAAGATTCTTTCCAACCTTCCAGTCAGCCATCCTTGCATGATTTTTGTCCTCCCCATCCCCCAACCACCCCCTCATGGTTGCAAGAGGGCTGCCATATCTCCAGACATTATGTCCTCAGATAACTGCACCCAAAAGCAAGAAGGGTGGCTTCTCCTTATAGCTCTGTTTATCAGGGAAATAAATCTTTTCCACATTTTTTTTTCTATTTCTCTTTAGGTCACATTGACAGGACTAACTCAAATTTCACCCCTTTGATTGCATGGAGTGTCGAAAAAGTGAGCACCTGGCATTTGCAGGCTTACTAATACGCAGTAACTCTGACAGCTAGAAAGAAAGTGGCAGGGCTGGTGGCTGCTGGCCAGGCTGCCTAAGTATCTGGGAAATATGCTTGAAGAATCAGCTGTGTGCAGGATTCCCGTGTCAAAGAAGAGTCTGTACATCGTGTAATATCAGAGTATGGAGCAGCAGTGACTAACTCTTGCGCGTGGGAGAGAATATATGTCACTTTGTACTTGACTTGCCACTGTCGTGCAGTCTGAATCAGCCCTAGGCTTTGAGCAATGCCTGCAGGTGGGAGAAGTGCTTGCTGAAGTTGTGTTTATTGCTGAAAACCCACGTAACAGAAAATGAGCTTTGGTCCATTGTAATCAATGCTAATCCTGTGAGCGGTGGCAAAGATGGGGTGCAGTCACCACCAATGACATGCTGTAGGCAGCCACCCAGCAGCCGCCAGTCCTGCCACTTTCGCCTGGCTGGCAGAGGCAGCTACCTCTTATTATTCATTTATTTCTTTTAGAAAAATTTCTTCTTTTTTTTTTATTTGCTATAGGGCGTGTGTGCTCGCCAGATAGACAGAGAGAGACATAGAGACAGAAAGTGAGAAATCACCCCCCAGGGGGGATGGCCACGCCGCAATCCCTTCTCCTCCATTCTCCTCTCGGGATCTTGGGCACGCACACGCACCCGGCTTGAGTTTTAAGCCAACAAGTCCAGGACGTGAACCGCAGTCAACTACATGGGAGTCCAGCGACATAGCCATTACGCTAACTTCTGGTCCCAGAAAGATTTTTGCTATAGGGCACATGCCCTCGCCAGAGAGACAGAGAGAGACAGAGAGAAAGAAAGTGAGAAATCACCCTCTGCGGGAATGGCTATGCCACATCCTCTTCTCCCTTTTCCTCTTGGGATTTTGGACATGCACGCGCACATGCTTGGCGTTGAGTTTTAAGCTGCTGGGTCCAGGACTCAAACTGCAGTTGACGAAGTGGGAGTCCAGAGACGTAACCATTCCGCCATCTGCTGGCTCCTACCTCTCATTATTAAAGCTGCAAAAAAACAGATGCTGACTTTCTCAGCACTCCATGTCGTCAGGGGATGGGACTGAGCTCGGTCTGGTCAATGTGACCTGAGGGAGACAGCATTTATGAGACACAGTTGCCTCCCTGAGAAAGAGAGCCAAGGAGAAGCTGCCCGGCCTTGCTCTGGATGCGGTATCAGAGGACGTAACGCCGGGCTGGCCCGCGCACGACTGCATGCACGGAGGACAGGGCGGTCACCGTGCGCGTCTCCACCTTGATCTGTTCAAGGAAGGAGACTGCAAACCTGAGCAAGCCACGGCGACGGGCGCTCCTCTTCTCAGAGTCGCGTGGAGAGTAACCAGCAGGGGGCTGCTCCCACGTTAAGGTAACGTCACGGAGAAGGAGCCATGCGGGGTGTGAAGGTGTCTTTCACTGTAAAATAGGCAAAACAGGAGCTGTGTCATCTTCACCGCCTGCCGTGTGCGCTTCAGTGCTACATCCGCCTTGCCGTGCGACCAGTCTTAAGGACCCTGCGGCTAACAAAATGGAAGCCCACTGGCAATCAGCTCCACCCCTGTGCGCAGCTCCCGGCAACCACCGTCCTGTCTGTCTCTGAACCTGGCCACTTCAGGGGCTCCCTCAAGCGGAGTCATACACTCTGTCTTTTTGTATCAGATTTATTTTACTTAGGGCGATGCCCTTAAGGTTCATCCTTGAAGCAATGTCAGTAGGCAGTGTTTCTTTCTTTTCTTTCTTTTTTTTTCTTTTTTTCTTTTTCTGTTTGCTGTAGGGTGTGTGAGCCTGCCAGAGAGAGACAGAGGGAAAGTGAGAAATTACCCCCCATCAGGGATGGCCGGGCCGCAATCCTTCTCCATTCTCCTCAGGATTTGGGGCATGACTGCATGATTTTCAAGCTGCCAGTTCCCGAACTCAAATAGTGGGGTCAGCCATGTGGAATGCAGTGCCTTAACCTCCATGCCACCTGCTGGCTCGTGTTTCCTTCCTTTTTTTCCTTTTTTTTCCTTTTTTTTTTTTAGAGGTTTTGCTATAGGGCACGTGCACTCGCCAGACAGAGAGAGACATAGAGACAAAAAGCGAGAAATCACCCCCCACGGGGGATGGCCACACCACAATCCCTTCTCCTCTATTCTCCTCTCGGGATCTTGGGCACGCACGCACATGCACCCGGCCTGAGTTTTAAGCCACAGGGTCC